CAAGAGAAGAATCAAGTTTGCAAAACTAAAGAAAAAGGATAAAGAAGATTGCATTCAAAATAGAAGAAGCATTATGGGATAACAGCATCATTACCAATAAAGTATGGGCATAAAGTATATCATACCCCAAATGATATACTTGTGTAAAAGACTCTCTGGTTAATGTGGGCTAGAATTACTTATAGAGTACTTTATTTTTCCAATATCCTATTTTCCAGATCCATCTGTGGCCACTAGTTAAACGATGAAATCTTAGAAAGGAAAAAAACCATGATTCTCGTGCATATATAAAATGAACATCTGTTCGAGACTTTGTTTACCTCGTTAATTAATCAGAGAATCAAGATGTTACAACAAACTCAAAGGAAATTTCAAAGAATGATATGTGTTTAGGTAAATAGATGCTGGAGTGAATGTACAAATAGACGTAAATGGGTCTGCTCACAGGACAACAATCAATTGCATTCCACTAGGCACAATTAATCTGCATCTTTGTGGGCAAGAATCATTTGCACTATCCGTTTTCTCTAATTGATAGAGCAGTAAAATAGCTCCCAAGGAGAGATTGCAATAGCTTGGAAGGATGCACTTGACAGAACACTCAGTCACCTCCCGGGTCTGTGTTAAAGTTGTCTATTATTTTTCCTACACTATTCATTTCATTCCCTCCTCTCTCCTTCCCCTAATATGCCACCACTATAATATACAAACATACAGCAAAAGAAAGAGGGAAAAGAAATCCAAAGGCCATCAGACGTCTGGCCGATATTTAATAAGATGGAAAACTAAACCAAAATTAAGTATTTTTCATGTGATTTTCTGCAAGCTTCAATCTGCATTTTGAAACTAGAGAATGAGGTGAGGCTCGTAGTAGCATTACAGTAACACCCCTATAAAGCCATTCTTATTTTGTATAATCCTGATCTTTTTTTTTTAGATGACTATGTACATGAGAAAGGAGAGGAAACTAAGAGGAGAAAAGAGACAGTTAAAAATCTTAAAGGTGCTGGCTGGCTCAGTCACTAGACCATGTGACTCTTGATCTTGGGGTTGTGAGTTCAGGCCCCATGTTGGGCATGGAGCCTACTTTTAAAAAAACAAAAACAACTTAGTTATCGACCATGTGTGCATAAAACTAGAGCCTAACGCTGGCTAAGCTCTTCAGTGACACAAGATTAGTTAACCAAGAGTGAATGGTTTCTGTTTAGCACTATATTAATAAAGTGATTGTTTTCATTCTTTCAGTCCATGCTTTTGCCTTCATAATAGCCACATGTAAACTAAACCACTTTGGGATTTTACAAGTGCACTTGATTATCGCTGTTTTCTGTTTCCTAAAAGGGACTATGGTAATAACTCTAATTAAAGGCTAAGCTCTTTGTTAGCTATATGAACAACTAGTCTTGCAAACTGAGGACCAGACAGAAGCAGAAATCATCTATTTGCCAGGTTTCCTTTTTAATTTCCTGAAGTGGGGAAGACTAAGTGTAGAAATCCTATCAGTATTCTCTGAATTTCGAGCCCATCTTTTTTTGTAAAATTTTTTAATGTTTTTTATTTATTTCTGAGAGTGAGAGAGAGAGAGAGCAGGGGAGGGTCAGAGAGAGAGGGAGACACAGACTCTGAAACAGGCTCCAGGCTTCTGAGCTGGCTGTCAGCACAGAGCCCAACGTGGGGCTCAAACCCACGAACCATGAGATCATAACCAGACGCTTAACTAACTGAGCCACCCAGGTGCCCTTCGAGCCCATCTTTGAAAGAACTCATGCATCTAGCCATTCTGCATTCATCCCACAACAGTCCTGCTAACAAAAAGAACTTTTAAATGACCCTAATTAAACTTCAATAGTAACTTTCACTGAACATTTGTACATCAAAATGATTTAAAAAAAAAAAAAACCTATTGACTGCATTTTAAAGGTCCCACTTGAAGGATTCTAGCTCAGCACGTACTTTTCAAACCATGTCTCCTCAACCTTACATTTAGACCTCCTAGTTCAGTTCCCTGCCCTTTCTCTGACCTTGCTTCTTCCCACTTGTGGCCTGAAAGCTCAAGATAGTAAGCACGGCATTGGGAGATCTAGGAATGTTGGGGAAAGGTTCATATGAAAAACAGCTCTATTCACTTGGCCATTTGCTCTATTAGATATTTTTCTTTTGAAATATAATCTCCTGCCTTCAGCAAGAGAGAATATATTATATCACACAGTGTGTACACGAGAGAAATTAAGATGACTGCCAAAAGACAGCACCACTTAGAAACCAAATCATTTTTAATTGGTGTGAACTTGATGAAGACCTAAGGATAGTGGGTTGGGAGATTAGCCAGAAAGGCTATATGACATTTGATAAGACTCTCACTTGGGAGACATAAAATGGATATTTATTGTTTTTGCTATTAACCCTAAAGGCCCAGAAAACCAAATATAGACAAACACCCATGTATATGCCAATGCGCAAGCACACACACACACACACACACACACACACACTTATTTTCACTTAGATGCTGCTTCACAATAAACAAGATTCAAGCATTGCAGCGAGTTCATGACGTTCCAGTAACGTGCCCTTTCTACTTTGTGTGTTTGTGGCCTATCTTCCTGGTCCTGGAATGAGACCAAACACAAAGTGATTGACATTATAAGCAAGGAAAGCTGAGGGTTTGGTTTGCCCATCGCCCATATTCTAGGTTTCATCTGGGACTCACTTTGGAAGATAAAACATAAATCAGTATAACTGCTTGTTATAAACTTATACAATTGGAAAAGATAGGCACTAAGACTCAAAACAAGTTTGAAGATTATTTGTGAATCTTGGTATGCTTGGTGTATCTCCACTGAAGGTCCTGTCACAGGAGTTGGGAAACTACAGCCCACAGGCCAAATTCAGACCTTTCTGCTACCACCTTCTCTCTGGTTTTTGCAAAAATAGCTTTATTGGAACCCAGCCACAGCCATCTGCTTCCATGTTGTCTATGGCTCCTTTCACAGCATGTTGACAGAGTTGAGTAGTTGCAACAACAAAACCCACAAACGTGGCTGGCAATATCTAAACTATTTTCTACCTGGCCCTTTCTAGAAAAAGCTAATCGGACCTTGTTGTCTTGTAATGGTCTCTGAAGATAGCTTTTACAGGTGACAGAACAATAACTCTTAATGCATAGGAAAAGCTAATAGGGTACAGTTCTTTTTGCCATCTTGTCGTCTTTTTTATTTGACAATAAAATTCAGCACACACTATTGTCAGTTGTCAGAGTTGGAGGACCTTTCGTTCACTTTTGGGATTATCTTATAAACAAAATAGTTTAGTATATCTTTTCCCTTATGTCAGCACCTGGCTTGTAACGTTCAGTGTTCGTATATTTGTCATCATTCTCATTCCGGGAGGCAGACAGATATATGTGAATGTGTAAAAAGATGGTTAAAATTATTTTGACTGTGGTTTTGGGTTTTATGTGTCTAAAAAGCTCCTACAGGTATCATTACTTAAAGAAAAGGTGACTTTTTACTTTTTTAGGATACTGCTTTTCCCACGCATTCTCTAGGTATCGGAAGATGGGTCAAGAATTCAAAAACAAGAGAGGGAGGTAACATTGTGATGAGAATTTCTTGGGAATGATTCTGAGTGGCTCTTCCTCCCTCATCCACCTTCTTGACAAGGTCGCATGTGACCTTCATTCTCTCCTAGGTGATGGTTCTTCCATGGGTGAGACACCGTAAGCTGCTGGGGGTCAGAGGAGTCTGGTTCTCCTGGCCAGCTCCATGCACAGCCCAGGCTCAGGCCCTGGAAACATTTTGGTTGTGATCCTTCCAATATGAAAACTTGGATTGGTTTCCTGCTAGAATTTCTGTTTCCCTAAACTAGATACGAACCATTTGCACTCACTAGGATTTAATGCTATAACCTTCTTATCAGTTCTTTCCTATCCTGCCAAAGTCAAGGTTAGGGGACTGGGTGTGCACGCCTCCTCAGCACGACTCTCTGTGAAAAATCAGTAGGCTCCTAGAAAAATAAAAAATATTTATTCCAAAGTTCTTTTTCCAGATTGTTATACTAACTTTTTGAAAATGTTAGTGGTTCCCTCTGGGCTTTTTTCCCCTAGGTCCCTCTCAAGGTCATTGCCATTATGGGCCATTGTTGATTAGTGGTTTTGGAATTTGATTATTGTCCTGCATGGTAGAGAAACTCAGAGAAAAACCAAATTCTCACTCGCGTGGCTTCTCTCAGGGGGTGGGGGTGGGAAGGCTGCTGTCACACAAATCTGTGCGAATTCAATATCTCTCGTTTACTGTGACATGTCTGTGGATTTAAATTTGTAGCACAGCTTTTCGCTATGATATAAAAAGAACTGTAGTCCAGACTAATTCAAGGAATGTGTGAAGAACAAGGCTTTGCTCCATTCTTGGAAACTTACAAAAAAAAGAACCTCTTTCTATATATAAATAAGTCTTGGGAAGCACATTGAGCAGAAAAGCAAAGAAAGTCACAGAATATGACCTCCAGGCTAAAAAAAAAAAAAAAAAAAATACACCTCCTTAAATGTCTCCAAGGGCTTATTTTGTGATAGTTTTAGGATCAGTATTAGTCTGCTATAAGAATAGCCAGCATCTTGCAGAAGGCACAAGTGCTGGGATTTAGGGAGAGAGAGAGAGAGAGAGAGAGAGAGAGAGAGAAGAAACCATGGATTCTCTGCTCTGAAGAGCTACCGCTGTGGGTGCAAAGCAGGGAGAAAGCAGGTGGTCTGCGGCTGGAATGTTTTACAGCTGGGAGTTCATATGACACGAAAAAAAAAAAAAAAAAAAACCAATCCAGAAACCGTGGCAAATGAGCTCATGAACTAGACTGAAGCACCCCTCTCAGGACAGGGTAACAGAGCCCTGAGCCCATCCTGGGACGGCCGGGCAGTTTGCGGCAGGTGGGATGCAGCCCTCCACACCCTCCAGCGTCTCCTGCCTGGGGCTTCTCATGCTCTCCTCTTGTTTGCTTGCCAACTGCAGGTTCATCCCGGAAGCCTGGTCCGCCTGCACAGTCACCTGTGGTGTGGGGACCCAGGTGCGAATAGTGAGGTGCCAGGTGCTCCTGTCTTTCTCTCAGTCTGTGGCTGACCTGCCTGTGGATGAATGTGAGGGGCCCAAGCCTGCATCCCAGCGTGCCTGTTATGCAGGACCATGCAACGGGGAAGCTCCTGAGTTTAACCCAGAAGAGACAGATGTCCTCTTTGGTGGCCTGCAAGATTTGGAGGAGCTCTATGACTGGGAGTATGAGGGCTTCACCAAGTGCTCTGAGTCATGTGGAGGAGGTAAGAAGGGGAGACTTTGGCTCAGACCCCCACGTCTCCTTGTCCCTTTTCTTTACCCTCCCTCCCTGCAGGAGACTGCGTCACATGACCGCCTCTAGTCCAGGAATGATAAGCAGGGGGAGTAGGGGAGGAAGCCGTTCTAAATGGAAAGCATACTGAATGAAACACAGATGTCTTTCTCTTTGGGCTTGAGTAGCGCTCAGACCGTCAGCTGTGAGTGGCCAACACAACTCATACTTTTACTTTCAGTTGTCGTTCTGATGTTTTGCAATATATCCTAGGGTATCTGACTGAGAAACGCAGCTGACACTGACCTGGCAGTGCTCTCAACATTCAGTTTTATTTATCTGTGTCCTTGCTTTAGTGCATGTGGTATGGACCAGAGCCCAAGATGACAAAACATTCTGCTCTTCCCCAGAATGGGTTAGAGCCCCCCACCCCCTACCCGCGCTGATTTACTCAACTGATTTTCCAAAGCGGTACCTCTTTACAAGGGGAAAAGGGTGTATAAAGGGCACTTAACAGTGTGCTTACCTGCAGCAGGAAAGGACTTTAAAGTCTGACCATTTTACAGGTGAGAAAATGAAGGCCCAAAGACGCTGAGGGACTGGAAATCACACAGCTAATGAATGACAGCTGGGATTAGGCCTGCTATTTATTTATTTCCCTGTCTAGAGTCTTTCCAGCATACTGCACTGCCTTAAGCACTTAGAGAATTCCTGAAGCTTTCCCCACTCACGATTATTATTTAACTAACGTTAAATGCCTACGTGTATATTGACCTGATTCCTTTAGGGATTTTCCACAGCGATAACAGATTCAGGAATTCTTTATGTCAGGTGCTATAGATGGCATTGTGAGGGAGAAGGAAGGCATTTGAATCAACAATGAAATTCTTCAAGGTTACGATCTTTCTTTCACAACAGAACATACATTAGATCCATAAAGCCACTGCCTCCCATGTCTGCTCCCAAGAGAGCTTTTGAGAGGTGAGGAAAATACTGGCTAGTTTCCTTGCCAAACTTCTCTCAGTTGTTACCCCTTTTGGCACCTTATGGCTGTGTTGCCAGCAAAGTTTCTCAACCGGTATAAAAAAGAATTAAAATTATTTGCCAAAAATGGCTTCTAAACCATGACATTTTGGAAACTCTTTCAAAAAGGCGTCTTTTGTCCTTAGTGAGAACGAACAAGTACACATGCCCAAAAGATTCACATGCAGTTGAAAAGGAATGACTAGTGGAACAAGTCAATACTAGCAAAGAATCCATTTTCTCCATCAGATCATATAGCAAGCATTTAACGGTGATGACCTTGAGATTGTTTGTTTCTAAGTCTTCCAGTTTCAAACCGTGAAATTCTCAAGTGTCTTAATGGAGGCCCCTGTTATTTTAAAACCGAAAACTTTCCATCTGATTCTGGAAGAGTTTCCTGGAACTCTGCTAATCTCTGTCCTTGTGGTCTTCTCCACACACATTGAGGACATCTTTTCTTCTATGCTTATGAAGGGAGAAGTGTTAAACAAGCTTCAATGATCTCTGAGTCCAGGAAGGAACAGAGAAGTCAGGTGGAAAGATCACAGCCTATAGCCACAATTGCTTCTTTCCATTACAACAGGTGACTCAAGCATTCAGATGGTGTGTGTTTAGCCCCAATTTCCATGATCACCTGAAAGGAACAATCATTATCCCTAGTCCAAAATGAATTTGTTTTGAAAAAGATTTTTTACTTATGGTCTCTCAGTTCTGGTTCTCAGTTACAAGTCAAGCCTGGAACTTTATGAGCAGATGGAAAAAATAGATGCAGTAATGGAATCATAAATAACCAGATACCTTTATCTAGCCATTCTGTGGATCAACCAGCGGTATAAAACTCAACATGTAGAGAGTATGTGGAATGGTTTTAATTTCAAATGTTTTCAGAAGATACTGATTTGGAAATAAGATTTGGAGGTTTGATATACAATTGATCTCTGCCTGTAGGAACTGAGTGTCTTTGTCTAACATAAATTGTACATCCTTTATATCCAAGGCAGGGTAAAGTTACCGAAATGTCTTATGTCTTTAACTGTCAACAACTCTGCACACTTACCTACACTTATGTAACTGTGCCAAGGTAATATATTTACACCTAAAATGTTAGAGTTGAAAATTCCAAAGTGGTGAAAATATGGTTGGGTTATATGGTCCATATGATGCCCATATGCACTAAAAAATCATTTCGCTATATGGGACATGTATATTTTGAAGTCAGTGCTTGGCAGTAACATTGTGCTACTTTGATCTTTCACCAAAATATAACCCACAAGGTTATATATACTTTTAATCATTCTTGCTGAAGCCGACCAAAAATGTGCAGGATTAACAGATAACATTTAAATCAATTTCGGGTTGTAAGCCTGGTCAGGCTAATTTTATTGTCTTCCTTATATCTCAAGAGCTAAAACTGGATAGATACAGAAGGAACCTTCCACCTAGCAGAGGTAGCAACCAGAAGGAACTAGTTTAGTCATTTAGGCTATAGTTGGTGGCTGTGTTTCCCCAAGCTGTCATCAAATATCATGTAACAATTATGCTCTTCTGGGAGATATAAACACTGAAAATCCCATTTTCTGGAAGATTGAGAGTGAACCTAACCTGTTCAGATATGTGCCCCTCGTCCCACTATCATCTCCTTGTTATATTTTAATTTCCCACATGTGAACTAATAGGTGTGGTCAAGGAGAGTGGCTTTGAACCTGAACAGCTTTATTACATTGAACTCCTAGATGGTAAAACCAGCATTAAAACCCAGCTGAGGGAAAACTTGAAATTTACTTGGGCAAGAACCAAAGGTGAAGTCTTATACCTGCTGCTCTCCTTCCTCATGAGCCCTCTCCTTTGTTTCTGTCAAGAAAGGAAAATTTGAAATCATGAAGTCCTGTACTTAAACATGTGGTCTGTGTTGGTTTAAAACGTCCTTCTAAGTGCATATATTAGCCTGTTAGGAAAGAGCTCACACTGAATGAGCCAACTTCTCACGTCCTGGCCAACTCCACTAGGCCAAGTATGCTGTGACCTCACAGGTGAGGTCTTCACATGCCCTCCCTCCTGTGACTTCCCATACTCCCCATTCCAGGACGCCCCCCGCCCCCCACCCTCCATGTGCCTTCCCCAAGGCAGCCCTCTCCCACCACCCCCCTTGGCCCAAACAGCACTGTGCTTACAATGCCCTGCCCTTGAGGCATTTGACCACATCATGCCACAAAAATGTATTGTGTGTTGACCACAGGGCTGGTCCCAGATACTCCTTAAAATGACAGAGCTCTGTCCTGAGTTTCCCTCAGCACGCCAGGCCCCACCTAAGAATACGAGGCAACGGGCCCCTATGGCAATAGACATTTACCCAGTGTCGCGGAGGCATAGTATTTTGTTTGTTTTATAATATGTTAGATTCAAATTTAGTAACTCTGAGGTGATACTTATCTTGAGCTATGCTTTATCGGTTTGGGGTCATGTGAATTTGTGTTCCACTTGCATATCTAAGAGGACAATACTGATGTTCTTTTAGAAATGCTAGCCCTTGAGACACTTGTTCTTTGCAGTGATAGAAGGACTTCAGTTTTATGAACTAGGAGTTCGCAAAGGAGAAGCAGAGCACACCACTCACCCAGCTCCACACCTAGACCCCTTTCAAGTAGGGGAGGTGACAGGACCTGTGATCACTTCCTGCTGATGTCATCGACTCAATTTCATAAGGTGTTCAGTAGCCGAAAAAAGCCAAAATTCATTTTAGAGTGACATTTAGAACCTCTTGAATATTCCCAGGTATGCAAATGAATTGAAAGCCTAAGTTCTTTTTTTTTATTATTTTTTTAATGTTGATTTATTTTTGAGAGGCAGAGAGAGACAGCGTGAGCAGAGGAAGGACAGAGAACGAGGGAGACACAGAATCTGAAACAGGTTCCAGGCTCTCAGCTGTCAGCACAGAGCCCGATGTGGGACTCGAACTCACAAACTGTGAAATTGTGACCTGAGTCAAAGTTGGATGCTTAACTGACTGAGACACCCAGTCGCCTCTGAATGCCTAATTTCTACTATAACACCAGCTCTAGATTCTGTGTAGAAGAGTTTGCTTCATCCAGCACCTTGTCATCATTACCTTAATAATGCCAGACTTCCCCAAGAGGAAGTATCAGTGATGATTTCAACAATTCCTCATGAAATGTTTTGCTATCTCATCATACCATGAGTTTTAAATGGCTCATCCCAGCTGCAACCAAGAGAGGAGCACCCTGGAGCCAGCATTATGAAATATGGTGGGAGAGCTTGAATGTAGTAGAAACCACAAATGCTCCACCCTGAACGGATCATGATATATTTAAATTTTAAAGCTCATGAAAAGCTTAGGAAATAGAAAATTTACATGCATGTACTCACAGTAAATACAGTGATTTTTAAAATGTTAAATTCATCAGACTTCTGGGAAAGGTGCATCAGATTCTGGCTTTAAAATGTCACTTTCCTAACACCTGGGTAGCTCAGCCCATTAAGTGGCTCACAGTTTCAGGGCTTGAAGCCCTGATCAGGCTCTACGCTAGCAGCGTGGAGCCTGCGTGGGATTCTCTCTCTCCCTTTCTCTCTCTGCCCCTCCCCAACTCATGCTGTCTCTGTCTCTCTCAAATGAATAAACTTTAAAAAATAAATAATAAATAAAATGTCACTTTTTTTAGAGAGAGAGAGAAAGAGGGAGTGCAAGCTGGGGAGGATCAGAGGGAGAGAGAGAGAGACAGAGAGAGAGAAAGAGAAAGAGAGAGAATCTTAAGCAGGCTCCACACCAGCGCAGAGCCTGAAGCAAGGCTCAGTGTCATAACCATGAGATCACGACCTGAGCTGAAATCAAGAATGAGATATTTAACCAACTGAGCCACCCAGGCACCCCAAAAGTCACTTTTTAAACATCAGTCTTTCTGAGAGACCTCAGTCAATATAACATCACCTTAGGAAACTTTAGCCTGTTGGGGTACCTGAGTAGCTCAGTCATTTAAGCGTCCGACTTTGGCTCAGGTCATGATCTCTCAGTTTGTGGATTCACATCAGGCTCTGTCTGACTGCTCAGAGCCTGGAGCCTGCTTCGGATTCTGTGTCTCCCTCTCTCTCTGCCCCTCCCCTGCTTGCTCTGCCTCTCTCTCTCTCAAAAATAAATAAACATAGGGGTGCATGGTGGCTTAGTCGGTTAAGCGTCCGACTTTCACTTAGGTCATGATCTCACAGTTCATGGGTTCAAGCCCCACGTCGGGGCTGTCAGCCAGCTGACAGCCAGCTGGCTGACAGCCAGCTCAGAGCCTGGAGCCTGTCTCCAATTCTGTGTCTCCCTCTCTCTCTGACCCTCCCCTGCTTGCTCTGCCTCTCTCTCTCTCAAAAATAAATAAACATCAAAAAAGGAACGTTAGCCTGTTTATTGGAGTAATAACTCCTTGGAGAAACAATGGGATAGATAGCAGGAGGGAAGGAGAAGGGCTAATAACCAATGGGACAGTTGTATATATTAGGTGCTTTTGATAAAGACAAAATAAGAACAGGAAAATGAATGTGTATTTATACATAAAACTAATTATATAGGTTGTCATGTACCCTGCCAAAATCATATACAAATATTTAACTACACGGAGATATATTAAGATGTACATATGTTTTTATACACAGCTAGGCATGACTGAAAACTGAGTATCAAGAATATCCCATATCGCCTCTTCCTGACACTGCCCTCTGCTGAAATGATCCCAGACAAATGTCTAGGTTATTCCTGAAGATCTCTAGTAGATATAAGCAGCCTTTTAATATTTTTAAATGTTAATACTGTCATTAGAAGCTTCAGTGCTAAGGCACTGCATCACTGTTTATCAACTACATGACCTTAGCAAGTCGCTTCACCTTTCTTTTTTTTTTAAATAGTTTATTGTCAAGTTGTTTTCCATATAACACCCAGTGCTCATCCCCACAAGTGCCCTCCTCCATGCCCATCACCCCCCCTTCCCCTCTCCCCCATACCCATCAGTCCTCAGTTTGTTCTCAACATTCAAGAGTCTCTCATGGTTTGCCTCCCTCCCTTTCTCCCCCCAATTTCCTCCCTTCTTCTCCCCCATGGTCCACCTTTCTAAGCCTCAGTTTCTTTATCTGTAAAATGGGATACAAATACCACTCACCTCATAGAGTTAAAAAGAATTGTGTGGTGCATGTCAAGCTCTTAGCATTGGCACCTGGCTAATGTCCCACCTGTGGATTTTGACTCTTACTATGACCGTGGGCACTCGAATGAAATGTCTAGTCATTGCCATACCCACCTAAATGTTTCCTTGCTCCATTAAGGTCTCTATAATAGGTCCTGCACACCACCTTGGAAGACCTGCCAATAACTCTGCACCAGCCACTGCTCAGAGTCGTGTTTTACTAGCTCTGTGTCAGAGACACACAAGTGTCCATGAGAACGTTATTTCCCACGGATTGCAGAAAAGATTGCGTTTCATGGATATAGTCATTGTGCACCTCATTCTCATTTTTTTAACGTTTATTCATTTTTGAGAGACAGAGAGAAACAGAGTGTGAGTGGGGAAGGGGCAGAGAGAGAGGGGACACAGAATCTGAAGCAGACTCCAGGCTCTGAGTTGTCAGCACAGAGCCTGACGCAGGGCTCGAACTCATGGACTGTGAGATCATGACCTGAGCGTAAGTTGGACGCCCAACCAACTGAGCCACCCAGGCGCCCTTCTCATTCTCGTTCTTTGTTCCAACTTCCAAAGCTGCCCAGGTTCCTAAAGAAATGAACTAGAATTCAAAGGAAACCGACAAAGATTGGAGTCCTCAATGCGAGGCCCCTGGAGAAACAGCAGTTTGCAGAATATTGTATATTAAAACACAGCTCTTGGCCTCCCTTCCAAATACAACAGTTGCCTGTTGATGAAAATATAATGTGTGGAGGTCTTGGGGACATTTTTTATTTTTGTCACCCTGCCCTTTTCTGCATTAAATTATCACACTTTGGCTTTGGCAGCTTTATAGCTTTGGTGGCATTTTTTTAAAGCACTTGGTCAGTACCGAAGGCCAGCTCTCGTGACGGAAGTGGCCCTCCTCAAGGGGCACATTTCCAGAGGCTCAAGCTCTAGAGTGCTTTCTCCCTGATCGAGCGATGCCTACAAGATGGGCAGTCCTGGGCTTTAAGCTGCAATCTCCGACACGCAGCCAGGGTCCTACCAATCACAGAGGCCTCCCACCAGCCGCCTTGTCTACACTTCATCACCCCCCACACGCCCACTGTGGCCTGACCGTGTGATTTGTACGCAGGTGTTCAGGAGGCTGTGGTGAGCTGCCTGAACAAACAGACGCGGGAGCCCGCTGATGAGAACTTGTGCGTGACCAGCCGCCGACCCCCACAGCTCCTCAAGTCTTGCAGTTTGGATCCCTGCCCGGCCAGGTAAGGGGCGAGGGGGTACCGTGCCTGCCCTTGCTTCTCCCAGGAGCATGTTCAGAGTAGGGTGCATCCGTCCACGGGCAAGACCAGAATGCTTCTTGTTCAAAACCCAGTGTTTTGAAAACCAATTAGTATCAGTTCAAACTTTTAGTCAAATCCACTTAAACTTAATTGAAACCAGGGCTTTGGAGTTCCAGCCCAGTGGTCACGCTCAGGGTCCAGAAAGCCCCATACACTGAAAGGAGCCCCGTGGCATGTGTGGATTTGCATGTGCTGTCGTGCTGTCTCCTGAAGGGAATGTGAAGGACTGCAGACCTCACGGTCTCGGCCCCTTTTAGCCCGTATCCCAAGCCCTCACACCATAGTCACGGATTGGCTCAGGGGCTGCAGGGTTTAAGAAACCAAAGTGACGGGGTGGTATAATTGATCTGCTGTGAAATCCGTAGGCACACAGCATGCAGATTCATTATAGCGTGCTCTGGAGTGTATGTGTGTCATTCTGCACGCATAAAATCAATTAGAGCATTTCATTTTTCGGTCCTGCCTGGGTCTCATTTTTATCCAACCTCGAGTCTGAGTTAATCAATCCAATCACTGCACTAGTCCACACAATTTTATGGTGTCTTGAGAGACTTGCCTGCAGATACTTCTTTGGAACAAATCTCTGTAGACGCTAAACCATCTCATCAATGATTCTGGTTTCAAAGGGAGATGTTGAAAGAACCAAAGCTAGACTCTCAAGTGTACTGATGGGATGAAGAATGTTATGAGACAAGGTCATGTCCTAGATACAAAAGGGAATGCAGTTTCTGCATGGTATCTCTTCTGTTTTTGCAAAGTAACATGGAAAAAGCAGTGCATTGCCTTTAGGAATTGACAATAATTTGCTGATAGGGTGTGTCTTATTTCTCAGTCAACAAAATGCCTTTCTTAGGAACTTAAGGGGTACAAATTACAGGCCAGATCAGGGCACATAGGCTGATAGTGACACTTCTGCTTGTCACCAGAGGTGTTCCATGTATTTTTAAAAAATAGTTTACCTTTTTATAATTATTTAAAAATTTTTTTAACGTTTATTTATTCTTGAGAGAGAGAGAGAGAGCATGAGCAAAGGAGGGTCAGAGAAAGAGGGAGACACAGAATCCAAAGCAGGCTCCAGGCTCCTAGCTGTCAGCACAGAGCCCGATGTGGGGCTCGAACCCACAAACTACAAGATCATGACTTGAGCTGAAGTCAGACACTTAACAGACTGAGCCACCCAGGTGCCCTGAGATGTTCCATGTATTGATCTGGATGGTAGGCTGGCTTCCCCCTTCTGATGAGCAAATAAGGAGGGTCTGCGGTGCCATCTTCTCCATGGCAACCAGGAAAACAGTCAGCCACTGCTTGGAGCAGCACTCCACCAATGAGGAACAGCAGCCAGCAAAATAGAATCAAGGGCCAGAGCCAGAAAAGGCTAGCTCCAGTACGTAGAATCCCGAGAAACCTCCTTTCTGTCCTGTTTGACCTGGTCCCTCATCTCTCACCCAACCTCACAGCTTTCCAGTTGGGCAAACCTAACTGCATGGGCAAGGGGGTACAAACCCCTTGCATCTGCCTGTGTTCTCCCAAAATCAGAATAAGCACAGTGATTCGGGCCTGGACAGCCTGTAAGGGCCTTGGCTAGGAGGTCCAGAGGTTCTCATCCTAGCTTTGTCACCCACCAGCAGTGTGACATGGGCAAGATGTCTGCCCCTTCTGTTCCCACATCAGCAAAATAAATAAGCTGTCGGAGATGATCTGAGGTGACCGCATCCTCAAATATCCCACTAGTCCTCGTTAGTCTATAGGCAGACGCGCTAGACAGCTACTGCTGTGTGCTGCTAATTGATGTCATTTCTGTTCCACTTACTTACCATCACTTTAAAAACAAGCCTAAGTGTCTAACCACATTCCAGTGTTGTAATGACATCCAAATGCTGTGATGAGCTGAGGCAATGTTGCAAACTCAGCACCCAGGACCAGCTACAGATCTTGTGGGATTTGCAGCCACTAAATCTGCCCCTTCCTGGGCAGCAGAAGGTATAAGACACAAGGTGTTACTTCCCATCCTCAGAGTACTGAGCACAGTTAAATTTGATAAGCTTAATTTACTCTACAACCTTTATATTGACTCCCAGACAAGGTCTCTTGTTAGGCTTAACTTTATTGCATTTGCTCCAGATAAACTTGGTGCTTTAATCTTCCACCAGCCAATTATCGGACTGACAGGCAAGACCTCTCTTACAGGGTACGGCCAAGGGTTTCTTGGACCAACCACCCACAGCTGAGTATTTGTAGACCGGTGCTAATTAAAACAACAGAGAAGGCTAACATACAGTGGCCCAATACCACTCTTCATCTCGTGTTAAAGACCCAAAGCAGATCTTTGTCTTAAAAGTGAGTCATGTAGGGAGGCGCATCTCCTGTGAGCTAGTTCAGTATGATGTCAGAGGGAAAACAATCTCTCATTCAGAAAATAAGTGTAAGGTGTACCTAGAAGAGAAATGAATTTGGTGGGAACATCATAGTGCATTGTTTCCCAATAACCTGTGCAGCCGAGTAACTTAAATCTTTGATTCACAATTCTTTTCTTGTGTATGGATCAGTGTTCCCTGCACATTTTAGGGTGTCCCCTAATCGGCCCCAGGTTCCTAAACATTGTCTTTTGGGTTCTTGGTCTGTGCTGATGTCCATGTGTTCAAAGCATCATAGCATTTTCTGTGGGACATGCAGAAATGACGTTTCTAGTCTTGGTCACTGGGTTTACATCTCTGAGAGGTGGCCACTGGTTACGACAAGTGGTTTTCCCAGGCAACTGTCATCCTAGTGCACAGATCAAAGAGCCACTTGTTCCTCTTATGTGTGACCAGAGTTATCTGATCACACGGAGAATGCCAAAGGCCTACAGGGCCCATCTGGACATCTTTCTGAGATTAAATATACCTTCTCCTGACTTACTCTGTGTTGATGGCAGGGCTGATATTAGAAGCACGTGTCTAACTTTCTCCAGGTTCCCTACAGTCTCACACCCAGCTCTCCACAGCAAGAAGGGGACTCTCAAGCTGGTTGTTCCAATGTGTGTGTGTGTGTGTGTGTGTGTGTATGTGCACGCGCACGCATGCGCATGTGTGTATGAGCATGGACTGCCTGCATTTTTAAGGGGCTTTAAAAAATAGTAGTTACCTATTGAAGAGGACTGTATTTTCAAGTTCTCACTATCAGCTCTATGTCCAAACCCACCTCTCTATGGAGCTAGCAGCTGGCAAACTGTTTTGACACATAGCAGGTGCTTGTTAAGTGTTTATTGAATACATGGTCATAATGGACTAGGACCAAATGTATAAGGAGTAATATTTAGATGTGAGTATTAATGATAGCTGGGAAGACACCAGTGCTATCTCTGCTCTCCATCCTCTATCCCCTCTCTTCCACCCACCAGAGGAAGCTGAAAATGCCATTGTTAGAGTCCCTTCTATAAGATTTTAAATATCAATTTAAAATGTAAATAGACTTAGGATAAGTAACCTTTATGTTAGCAGCCATGTATAGCAAAGTATCCCCAAAATAATAGTAAGAAGGCAAGCCTTAGTAGAGGAGAGAGTGGACCCAATGGAGGTTGAGCGAATTGTTAGCACTACCCAGGAGGAGTCTGTCAAAAGAGATGGAAAGTAATATAACCCTTAACAACCGTGCCTAAAATTGGCCAGAAGAAATTAGGAGTATTTTTACTTGTGAGCTGACAATGAGAATACTGCATCAGCATTGATAGCAAAGATGTTTTAATTATAAAGAAGAAAAACTATTCTACATACCTTTAGCACCATCTGAGTCATTTGTGTCTAGAAGCCCCTCCACACTGCTCACCTTTACGTGGGTTAGACCAGCTTAAGGTAGAAATGTTCAAAAAGGCGCTAAAATCAGTCATTAGGAAAGAGCTTAGCCTCCTCTTCCCAATAAAAAAGCTTTCTGAGTGTTATAATCATGTAAGTAATATATGATTATTCTCATTCTTTAAAAGTCAAGCATAGCAGAAGTAATCAAGGAAGAAACGTCCCCTTTTCAACACCATTTTCTACAGTTCCAGAACCGTCTTCTCCCTAGAGATAACCACTGTTAATGGTTTGGTACCATAGCTTTTCACACCTTTTTCTATGAATTTATATGCATATATGAACATGTATAAATACACAAGATTTTCCTCCCTTTGCAAATGGGGTCATGTTGTGTATTTTACTTGGCAACTTGATTTTTCACTTAATAATATGTACTAAAAATCTTTCCCATCCTAAGACCACCAAAACAAAAACCAGCAGATAGCTTTAGACCTGCGTTTAGCTACATGACCTTTTTGGATCCTCAAATTCTTCACCTCTAAAATAGGATTTTAGTGAGAACTCAGAAAAATTCTCTTCTTCTTCTCTTTCATTTCTTGGTGATAAATACATGTAGTTTGAAATAAAGCATAATTTTTTTTGTATTCTGGGCTTAAATTTGATTAGATTTTCTCTCTGATTCAACCCAGTCTTAATAATTAATGACCATCTCCCTGGTTTATGCGAGCAGTGACATGAACAGCTCAAGGAAAGCCAGAAAACACTACCTTAAAAAAAGAGAGTATGACTGTTATTAATTATAAGCATTTGATAGCTTGGCCAGTGTGTGTTGAAAAGATTTGGTAAACGTATGTGGAGGAGGGGAAAGAAGTAAGCAATGAAAGCCAGATGGCTGAAAATGAAGGAAATTCCAGGCAATTTCTGCAGCTTTGTTCTAACATACTTTTTAAACTAAACTTTTATTTCTGTGCAACAGAGAACAGCTGAGTGGTGCAGAATAGATAAACAGTGAAGGGGGGAAAAAAGCCCATAATTCCAGGAACAGCACTTGGTTTCTGCCCCTCGCCCCAACCCCAGGCTCTTTTCTCAGACCTAGGGTGGTTCCTCAAACCAGCAAGAACTATAAAAGAAGTTTGAGAATCCCTATTT